TTCTTCTTGGTGCCATATCAGATTCCTGACGTCGGCGACACCTGGCGTAGGTTTGTAATCCGCCAAGGTGTATACTAGGGAAAGTTACTACCCAGAGTGGTTTCCCGTTGCCTTCTCTGGGGCGCGATGTTACGCGAGGGGAACTAATGCCTTCCGGGAGGACTTTTATGGGGAACTGGCCTCCTATTTAGTCGTTATCGGCAAGGAGAAAACCCGGAAAACTCCAAGCAGCCAGACTGTCCGATCGCGGCGCGAACCCACGACCGAACTCCCAGTGTTTAGGGTACGAAGACCACTCAGCCACTGGTGGGCTCAAACTTTATATACATAATTTAATATAAACAACCAGCTACTAATTTTTAATAGATATTTGTGCATGCATATATTTTTGAATTTGTAATATAAATTTCTTTCAAATAAAAAAAAAAATCATTCTGAAATAATCTGCTAGAATTATATATTTAGATTTTTTTAAATTAAACAAAAAAGTTAAATACTCAATAATAAACAGATATATATTTTTTAATGTAGATGCTCCTGTAAATAATAGGCCAAATGTTTTCACAAGTATTCTTCAACCTATAGAAGAATCTACAAATACTTCGTTACCTCAGGCTGAACTTCATTATATAATGAAACATAATTGCACATCGTTCATTATCTCTCTCAATTGTATGAGAGTAATGAGTATATTTGATTGGTCTAAATATGTCTTGAAATTTCTTTGTTGCGAGATTAATCCCTGTACACCTATAGGTAAATTGATCAAATTATTATTTTTTGAAATAAAAAAGAAAAATTATAAGATATAAATTTTTATTTTTCATTTATAGATGACCATAAAAAATTGGATTCCTCTACAGAAGTTTTGCATACAACAGATAATTTGGTAAATAAATATTTTCAAATTTAAATTACTTTCTTTTGAATAGATTTGGATCAAATATTCAGTTTAGTTTTATATTAATTTTAATTTCAATATTTGTTTTCTGTCTTAACTTTCTTATAGATGTTAAGATAAAAATTGTTTTAAGAATTCTAGAATTTGTAATTATTTATTATAATAAATATATGAAATTGAAACACTTTCCCTATTGATCTTATTTTTATTTAAAAAATTGATTTTGTAACTTTAAAAAATATTACAAAAATTTATGATTTTTGATAATTTTTTATAAATTTTTGAAGATTAAAATAAAAATGATTTTGTGATATAAGAACTTAATTTAAATTTTAACACAATCAAGATACATTTAAATTTTTTGTGTTAAAATTTCAATTTATTTTCTGGAAATTTCATGAAATTTTTAAAATTTTAAAATAAAAATTTATTTAATTATATTTATGAATACATTTTTGTTTTAGATTCAAGCTCCAGTTATAATAAAACTCTATTTGATGGATACAGAAGTTGTAGTTGTGGAAAATCCTTCTGTTTGGGACACAAATGCTGTTATATTAAAAGTAAAATATACTTTAAGCAATAGTTTTTTCTTGTGAATTTATTAAATATAATTATGGATTTTTAATTTCTTACCAGACTACTGCTTCATTCAAATGGACACCATCATCTAAAGATTGCCCAATGACATTTGAGTTTAGAAGTCTTGAAGTATTTTCATGCATATTAGGAGTTGAAGAAGAAACTGCATTATCTATAATTGATCCTGTTAGCTTCACTGTGGAAGTAGTAAAAACAGATGATGGCATTCTTCAACTTACAGATGAAATTAGTCATTTACTGAAGGCATGCATATATTTTTATTTTAATAAAATAATAATTTCAATTTACTTATTCTTATGAAAGTTCAAATGACAAAAGAAATGTCTTATATGAGTACATGTTGGTTAACTTTGCATATAAATATTAATTTATATGCAAAGTTAACCCATCAAACCAACATATCAAAAACCAGCAAAATCAAAAATTCTTTACTTAAACAAATATTTTTGCTGGATTTTTTTTTGGTGTGTTGCATAACTGCTCTTAGTTCTAACCAGTATCTTTGCATATTTATTTGCTTTTTTAATGACCATAGCATGAAAAGTACAAAAATGGTTGCAAATAATTCCTTTTTAATTAATAAAATTTAATAGAAATAATACATTTCTAAGTGTATTTAGCAATATACAGACTACATCTATAAATTTAAAAAACAATTTGAAATGGTTTTGCATTATAAACAATGTTAGAGCTAGTATAAAGTGTTTTTTCATTTATGTATAAAAATATGTATTCTATCACTTGTTTATTTTTGGTTTTTTTATGTGCAAAATTTGATTATTTTTCTTCTAATTTAACTGTTTCTTTTATATAGTATCCGTCTTCCATTTAAATATGTTCTCATTTTAAAGTGGTATTCAATAATTAGATTTTTTTTTGTATATTTGATAAAAAAAATAGAGAGAAATTATTCATTTTCTTAATGTATCTTTTGAAATACAATGTATCATTAATATGAAACTCAAATATCAAAATTATTGATTTGGAGATATTTTGGATTTTTGTAGGAAAAACACTAGTATTTTATGAATATAGAACAATATTATATATGCAGTTTTTCTGTTGTTGTTAAATGTGTATGTATTGGCATGTAAATAGTGTAGAATGCTTAGTATTGTGACAGAAATCGGAATACACTATCTAGCATTAACAATTTATTCATGAACCTGGTAAAATACAAAGAACCTATAAAGAACCTTATACACCTGGCAATTGTGGTTGTTGCCATACATGAATACAACTATCAGCTCAAAAGAGCTGAAATGAAATTCGTCTGAGCACATAATACTATGCCAGTCATCCACTGTCCAATTTCAATGTTCTTTGGCCCAGATGAGGTTCATTGCCCAATGCCTGGGTGTTAGTAGTGATACCAGACACCCCGCTACATCAGCCATGGACACCCACACTGGGCACGTGCTGCTGTTGTCTATTTGGAATTTAAGTATTCCTGATAAACCATTGAAACTGTTGCATGAGAAAATCCAAGAGCATTGGCAACCTTGCTGATAAAGTGACTCATTCTTCTTGCTCCAACAATCTGTCAAACAGCAATAAATCTTTACAGGGTCCATTGCTACTCAAACCAAGCTCTCACATAACCAATAAGTATTAAATCTATGGTGTCAAATGCTTTGTTCCAGCTCAAAACATTTCTCTATGGGTATAAGGTAACAACATTGCATATGTGCCGTCTCTAATTTTTGGTACTTCAGTTTATGAGTTAAATAGGCAAAATAGAGCAAACTGCAAATATATAATTAACAGAAAATTTTATTCAGCATAAAATAAATATAAATATATGTTTTATTCATTTTATATTAATGATGATTCTGGCATCTTATTTAATTATAAATGACAGTTATTTTACTCTTTTGTAAGTACAGATTTTAATAAACTATAAATTAATTTTTTCCAGATAAAGTTAGAAAATCTCAATTTAAGACTTTCATATCATGACGTGACAATGTTTATACGAATTTTGGAGTCATTTTCCAGACAAACTGGTCTTCAGTATGAAAACAAAAAGGAAAAAGTCAAAGAAATTGAACTACCTGTTTCTTTAGGTAATTTAAATTTATGTTTATGTTTATTGATTGAACTTAAAATATCTTCTACAAATCTTAGAATCAGTTTTTCATTATTATATATCTAAAAAGTAATCTTAATTTTTTAGACATTAAACAATAATCTGATAATTATAAATTCAATTAATTTTATTTAACATGTATTTATATCTATTTTAAAACTATGTAAGGGGAGACACACCAGCACACAGTAGGGCACCATTTATGTTTTTCTCAAGAAACTAGACTAAAGGGACATACAATTGAAATTTAATTCAAGATAATACAAGTAACATTTTTGGAGTTGCTGTAAGTAGTCTTCATTGACATAAGTAGTTCACATTCTGTAGCTTTGACATAGTCATAGCTGTGAAGGGCTACTTACAGCAACTCCAAAATAGAGTCACCAGGTTCACAAGTAATACTTTTTTATGACAAATTTGTAGTTTTATAGTTTTCAACTAAGGTTTTAATGTGTATGTTTTTTTATATTTTTATTGTAAAAACGCAGTAATTCATTTGTTGCATATACTTTTTTTTTGAAGTTGCATAATGATCATTAGTTTAGTAGACATTATTAATGAACTGTATCTGATTTACAGCAATGAATTCCAAAGTGATTTTTACCTATTGAAGATTCAAATGCTGATGGTTGTATGCTACCCCCTGTTCTTGTTATTTTTAAATTTTAGAATATTAATTAAAAACCTATTAGGTGTTCTTTGTTAGAATCATTAAGCATGTTGGAATAGTTTCATAAATAAACTTTTCTCAAAGGAATATTATTTGTTTATGAATTCTTGCTGTTACAGGATATTCGTCTGGTTAGGTTTGTCCTAGATTATGGTAGGTTAGTTTAGTTAGTGAGTAAGTTAATGTATAAAAAATATAAAAAAATAAATAAATAAAAATTGGGGTCTTGCTTGTTTGTCTTCTGTCGGTCTGTTTGTCTTGTCTAGTTTGTTGTTGTGTTTGTTTGTTTTCACACTGTCTGTCTAGCTGTTAATAGTATTAAGATTAGCACTCATGTTCAGTTTTATAAGTCTTCCTACTAACAGCCACTTGGCACTAACTTCTACACTTTACTATTCGTGACAGCACTCAATTATTGGTGTTTGCTACACTCTAGTTTTCTTTTAGACCCTACAGGGGACTACGGCCTTGCAGCCTAAAAACAGCATGCCAACATCAAACATAGAGAGTACTGTAGCCATACATAGCCATTCAGAGGGATCCTACCTTTCTCTACTGTTCATCTCCTTTCTCTCCTCCTTCTGCCCTTTCCCTTACCCTCTTTTCTGCTGGCTAAACACCTTGTGTATGGCCAATGTCTTTCATGTATTTATGTTACAGGATATTACATAAGTGTAAAATTTTCTTAGATTGTGATTGCTTTATATTCATTAGCCAATAATCTACCATTAATTCTTATTCTCTGACAGATAGTGTCCTTGATTAGGTGATTTCATGCCATTTCAATCCTAGAAATGTGATAATGAGTGCAAGATTAAAATTTTGTATAAATTCAGTGTGTTTTTGAAAAGAATATTGCACTTTTTGTTATCATAATTAGAAAATGATATATAAATGAAATTCTATAATGAATTTAGACATGTAAGTGAAATATTTAGAATGTATAATGAAATAGGACTATGTTGAAACCAGCATAAAACAATATGCAAATGATAAAGATGTGTAAATGTAAAATGTATAAACAGCACTCTACATGTGTATATGTGTATTAAAATGAGATAATTTTAATAATGTTGTTTTAAATAAGTTTGATTTTAAAACAAGTACTGAAATTAAATATAGAAAGTAGTAGTAATTGATTTGTATCTTGGTAAAATTTAAATAACATATTTTTATTTTTTTAGAACAAGTGGCAGTGCTGGAAGGTATGGGATATAAAAGAGAATATTGTGTTCAAGCTCTGATTTCTTGTAAAGGGGAATTGAATAATGCTGCAATGTGGCTAACAGAAAATGCTCCACATGATGATAAATCTGTGAAAACTCAATTATTTTCAGATACTAAAGACGAAAGTCTCTTTTCTAATATTAATCTTCAAGCTATGGCTATTACTGTTTCAAGAGGCTGCCTATGTATAATTGATGATTGTAGAGATTCTGATGTACCTTGCTTAGAGATAATAGTTACAAGTAAGCTAAAAATATATGAATATAAATAATAATAAAATTTATAAAGAAATAGCTCAGTGTTTATTTTGAATTGATTTTTCAAATTAGTAATCATCTGTATACAGTATATATAGTTTGTAGTGCATTGTGAATATTTAAAAAAATTTTTTTTAAATAAAATTTGATGATTATTTTTCATTCGTTATTCCTATCAAATTACACATAAATGACTATTTTCTATTTTAAAATTCTAAATTATCAATTATTTTGAAATACAGGGTGGTTCAAAAGCCCTTGACACGTTTAAAAATGTAACTTTTTTGTTTTTTAATATTTTCCACACGTAATGGAAAAATTTCCATAAATAAAAGTTAATTTTTTGTTTTATTTTTTTTTTTTACATTGCATCTTATATAAAATAACATGCTGGGACTTTGAACCGCACTGTGTATAAAAAATAATTTTCTTTATCTATGTACTAAGGAAACTATGAAATTCTGCCCTGCTTATATAATTTAGAATAACAATAAACTTATGGTTTTTAAATAATTTTCAAGCTCAGATTTGTTATTCTAGGATAAGTTCTTCAAAATCTTTCTTTACTAATAATGAAAATGTGTATTTTTAGATTTTATTTACGTATACAAATATGTACACCAAATACTGCATTTTATTTTTAGAAAACTATCTCTAGAAACAGAAAATTACTGCAAAAATTCAATCATATATAAAGATTGTTAAAACTTTATTAATAATGTATAGTTTTGAATATAAAATTTAAATGTAAATTTTATATTCAGAAATTGCCAGACAGATCCAGAATGAATCAAACCTACAATTCTGCTTATCATGTAGATGTATTATATTAAAATCAAACAATTGCCAGATTAGATTGGGCTATATTACTGCTGCAACTAATAATTAAATGCTAAGTTATTTGGTCTATAGGTAGGCATTAGGTACCATCTCTTCTAATGCCTACCTCTTAGCATTTAATTATTAGTAGCAGCAGTAATGTAGCCTGATTCAATCCTGCAATCATTTGGCTTTAATATAACTATTAGGCTTACAGATGTTTATATTTTCAGACATATTACAGAATGTTCTCATTCTGGATTGATCTTTTCTACCAGAATATTTTAAATTAATTAATTTTATTTCTAATTATTAAACTTGAGACAAGATTACAGCTTAGCTGCTTACCTTTACTCCAAGTTACATGTCTTTATAATTAATTAGTCAGCTTGATTTAAATTTAGCAGTAACATTTGTTTATCATACATTAATTATTGTAAATATTATTCACAGTCAGCAAGAAATGTAATTTTATAAATCACTGAAAATTAAATTATTTTCAGTAATTAATAGTTTGACACTTTTTAGAATATAATTTTATTTATTCACTTTTTTAACTTTTTAATTTTAGATCTCGAAGTTGATCAGTCTTTTACTGCTGTTCATAGAGGAAATTCTGTGTTTATTTTGTCAGTTAGTTATTATAACAGAGGATTGTCAGGTTGGGAACCATTTATTGAACCTTGGAAGTAAGTAACTTTTAAATTTTAATTTCTCTTTCTGTGTATTGTACAAGTATTTTTAATGTAAATTGTCCTGTCTATTTGCATTGCAATGTAATTTTACTTTAAAAATTGATAATGTTATTTACTTTTAAGAATTAAATATTTTTGTATATGGAAAAGGAAAATTTGTAAATAATTTATATATGCGATCCAAGTATCATAATCAAGCATTTCAGTTTAAAAAAGCAATAATTACTATTCTGTGTCAGTTGGGTATATTATAGTTATGTCATCCAAGTTGCCAAGCTACATCAAACTGTGTAAATTTAGAATATATATAATCTTAATTTACATAGGACCTTACTCCATTTGAAATTTACCTATAAACTTAACTATTATTTATTGCTTAAGTTATACATTCATAATCTTCCAAAATGAATTCTACTATTTTAAATTACTGTAATTATGTTAATTATTATCTGAAAACAATTGAAGAGTTTTTTGTTTTGAAATATATTAAAGTTTCAGTTCGTTCAATATATGCACCTCATGTCACATGACACACATCCAGCCAATAGTCAATTTCTTCTCAAACTAACTGCAACGTATCTATTGTTATTTCTCCCAAAACAGTCATAATTTGATTCTGCAGCTTCTATAAATTCCTGGGCAATGGTGGATGTAGACAATATCTTTCTCATAGTCCCGCAATAAGAAATCACACAGTAATGTCCATTAATTGCATTTGGCATTATCTTAAAATTGAAATGATTATTAATTATTACAATATTTTGAATATTTCTAAATTCCTCTTCAGCTTCCTTAAATTTAAGGGAAAAATTTTTTACAATATAAGTTAAAAATAAGCTATAAGTAAGTAAATATATAAAAACATTAAAAAATTATTTTAGTATTTCAATGATTTTCTCAAGATATTTTATAAACAGTTTCATTTTGGTATAATTATTTAAAGCACTTATTGAATGTTGTTTAAATTTTTCTTTTTTTTTTTAAATTAGATGCAAAGTATCATGGAATTTCTTTATCAGAGCACAGACAAATTATTTACAGAAGATATCATTTCAGATTGAAGGTAAAATAAGTTTTAGAACAACACTTTAAATACTTTTTTAGCAATAGTGTTAATAACACTTTAATTTCTTTAAATGTTTTTGACCTCTCTTCGTAGGTCTGTGTCAGGTTTAATAAGAAGATTCAAACTGTCTTAGTTTGAATCCTCTTGTTAAACTTGACATATGCCTAAGAAAAGGGGTGGAAAACATTAGTTTAAAGAAATTAAAGTGTTGCTGAAAAAGTATTTAATGTCTAGGCATTAGGTTGATTCTTCTTTCCTTGAAAAAGTTCACACGATTGTACATTTAGGAAAACCTGGCTTGAGGTGAATGAATTCAAAACTTGATTAACTCTTGATGATGACGATATTTGTTTGACTCATTGCATCATTTGCTGAACCTAATTTAATGTTAAATACAATGGAATTAAAGCATTTATGAAGCATGCTAATTACAAGAAGCATGAAAGAAGAATTGCATGTTCTCATTTACCTTTCCTTTCCCCTGGTCATCATGTTGTCCAATGAAGCAGTTTCCAAAGATGGTGACCCTAAGTGACACAATGGGATAGTTCTTTGAGTAAAAAGGAATTAATTAGTTGTAATTTCTTTGGGTATTATTGCAATATTAACTTTATCTGAAATAAGATTACAAATTTGTTTTGTAGTACACAATAAAAGCATGCATATCCGCATATAAATGGAAAATTTTCAGGTTTCTTTCGAAAGATTGATTCTGGATTTCCCAATCGTTTTCTATTCTTAAGCTCTTGATGTTTATTAATTAATGAATGTACTGTGTGCATAATGTAAATCATTAATTTTTCTAAACAAAAATAAACTTTAGAAAATATTCAAAAGAATCAGGAATTTTCAGCAGAATTGGAATCAGAAGAAATTTTGGTATTGTTCCATTACTAATTTAAATATAATGATGAATAATGAAGATTATTTAAAAAATATTATAAATTGAAGACTGAATACAGATAAAAATTTTGTTATCAAATATCCTTCACAATCACAGAAACACAGTTAAAATGAGGAGAGTTGACCTTTTCTTTGAGGCTTTTCTCTGCTTATGAATATGTAAATTGTGTTCCTATGGTTGTGGAGGATGTGTGAAGATATGGATTTTCTTACCAACTCACTATATTATATTAACTTCTTAATGAATGCTTTTATGTATTCTTATTTAANTTGTTTTTTATAAGTTGAGATTAAAATGATAATCAGTGCCACAGAAAATTAGTTTCATTTTCAGTTTGAGTGCTAATGTTGTAAATGTAAGTTGAAGTAAAACATGGATAAACATACATGTTATAACTCAGACAGTATTTCATTAATTATGATTATTATTAATTAATGTCTAATTAATCAGACTTGTTTGTCTGTTATCATCATTAATAAAAGCTAACGTATAATTGAAGTAAGAAATGCCAACAATTTAAATTATTTTACTGTAAGCACATAATTAAAATATTTGATGTTTAAAGTCCTGATTAAGACACTTAATGATAATTAATAACGATTACACATTACTAGCCATAAGTTAAGATTGAAAGTGTGAAAAAGCTTAAAATTGCCTATTTACTAAGACAATGATAATTATATCCAAATTCTGATTACAATAAGTGAACTTATGTTTTGGGATCTATAATTTTAATAAGTATTTAACAATTGATAATAATATCCATAATTAAAATAAACTGAGTCTACTGTATTTAATTTTTCAATACCTTGCGTTATGTCCACTTGTCTATAATTTTAAAAAAAGTTTTATGAAATTTTAAAATTGTAATATAAAATTTAAATTTTCCTGTTCTTTAAGGTCAGAAATCTGTCCGAAGCCAATAATAATAAAATATTTCATATTTTTACTAACTTTACTCTCTTTAATTAAATGTGTAATATGGCTATTTCTTGTATAGAAAAAAATTGTAACTTTTTGTTGTAATGGTTTTTTATAGCAAACGATCTTAGTTTTACATACATTTTGCAGGGTTCTTACACACCTGGAAAGTCAGAAAAATTTGAGGAAGTCAGGGATTTTCATTAGTGTTTAGAAAAACTCATGGAATGTCAGGGAATTTGCCTCCTTGAGTTTTTGCTGACATTTGCTTAACTAAGTATAGCTGTCTGCATGCAACAAGAAGTAATGTGATGCAATACAACTTATAAAAAGGGATGCAGAATATTTTTAGAGACCAAAATTTCTCCCAACAATACACAAAATTTTCCCAAAAATTTATAAAGTACAAAATATGATAAATTATACCATTTAAATTAAAATTATTTATCATTTTTCATTTTAATAATTTTGATTTCATAACAAAACAATTTCTGATTTTTTTCCAGTTTATTATTTTTTAAACTTCAGGAAATTTATTAAGGAATAAATTTAATAAATATATACTTCTGTACACAGATTATACATGATTTGATAATGAATAATAGATAAATAAATGTTTTTTTTTTTTTTCAAAGCTATGTAGATTTATAGCTGTGGATTAATAACAGAATAAACTACTTTAATTTAATAAAATATTTTATTATAAGTATTAATAATTTTGCAATTACAAAGAGTATATAACTGTTAATTAGAAAAAATAACCAATTAAAAAGTTAGAGAATTAATAGCATATATGCGTGGTAAATCAAATGCTGTTTTGTTTTATCAATGTGCCATACTGTAAGGGATGTGAGGGTGAGGAAATTTATACAAAGTTGTTCAGGGAAAGTCATGGAATTTAAAACAAAAGTTTGAGTAGTAATCTTGATTGTGTCTTCTGGTTAATATTCTTTAGGAGCATTTTTCATTAAAAATAAATAAACTCTTTAAGTATAGATTTATGGATTTATATAGAAACATGATTTATATTGCATAATTTGTGATGAATTTGATAAACAATTTACTGTACTGTATAATCTGTAGAACAAGGTTCACTTGACTGAATCATTGATTGATTTACTCACTCACTCACATGAAATATTCAAGTAGAAGCAGATTTACAGAAAAATGAAACAATACAGTGAAAGAAAACACAAGGACATATTACTAGAAAAATCTAAAATTTAAAAAAAATAATAATCAAATATTTTAGGCTCTGTCAGATGTCAAAGTTTGATTTTTGACACTTAATAGAATGCCACAATTGTTTGTTGAATCATTCACTTAGATGCTATCTTCCAGTTTTTAACTGTTTTTTGTTTTACATTATTTTGAATAATAGCATTCTCATTCTCATTTTGATTTACCATCATTTCTTTTTAAATAATATTTTAAAAATATAAGATAGTTACTTAATTATATATATATATAATTTTGTTTAAAAAGTTATAAATTGCAATGTAGATATGAAAGCATAGAGTGCACCACTGAAGATAGTAAAGAGCAAAGTGCTTAGTATATAATAAATCTACATTTATTACATGTATCAAAAAACTTTTATTATATATTATATATTTGGATAAGGTACAGTTGATGATAAAATTAAATATATAAATTTCAGTATTAGAAAGTAATTTTATGTTTTGTATTTTTATTGCAGCATTTATCGAAGAAGATCCCCTTTTGTTCCTTTTGCAATTAAAAATGATTTAGGATGCAAAATTTGGTTTTCAACTGTTATAACTTCAACTGATAAGTATGTTTATCTATGTTAATTTTTTAAATAAAATGCAATAAATATAATGAGAGATAATTTTATAACTCATTTGGAAATGGTTATTATGTTTTTAAATGGCAACAGTAGTAAAATCATGTACAGACATTTCATCATTATACATTAGGTATAAATTTATTATAAAATTTAAATTTGTATGCTGATGTGATGATTATGTTTAAATAAGCTTTTGTATTTTATTCAATTTATTTTATCTTAAAACTAGTATTAAGGTTAAGTTAACTGTGAGTGTTATCTAATTATAAACTTCATATTTTACTTTTGTTATAAAAAGTTAATTTTCTGTATATTGGAATTCTGAAAACCTTTCCAGTCTAAATGTAAATTGGCAGGGTTTGTACAGACCTGGAAAGTCAAGGAATAAGGTTTTTAGCAGAAAAACTCAGGAAATTTGCAAATAAGTGGAATTCATCCATTGCTTTTGTTCCTTTTTGATCTGAACATGTCTTTAAATTTGGTTTGGTTCTACAAAACCGACCAAAAGAATGGCAAGATTTATCACACTTATATTATCATTTATAGTTTGCAAGATATAAGAGTTAAAATTTTGTTGGATAGAGGGTTTGTGTGTATTTAAAATGGTGGGTAATGGGGGTGTGCAGCTGTGAGGGGGGTTTTCAGTTATGCATGAACACTGAAAGTAGTGATGCTGCAAGGTGTTTGGGCAGTGTATAACTTTGGATTGCGAAGAGATAGGACATTGAAATTGGTGTTGATTTGTATAGAATGACAGGATCTACAATATTATTTAGCAATAATAACCAATGAAACAGAATATGTAAAGTTATAAGCCGATAAGCGTGCGAATTGAAGAAAATTTTCATAATGTCAAAATAATTACGAAGGAAATGGGAACAGAAATGTAAGAAATGTATATCATTGGAAGAAAAATTTAAAATGAATCAGAAAAGCCCAAAATTACTAATGCCAAACATTGCAGATTGTATAGAGAGCGTAAGAAAACCAAGTGCATCAACTCTGACAATACTTCAAGTGCACTGCTGCCTGAACCAATAGATATTGACTTGGAATGTGATAACCACCAAGACTCTATTTGTTTATACCTTATTCTTTCTCTAATAATACAAAGATGGATTCCTGCCTTAAACAATTATGATTTTGTCCCAATTTTTTTGACCTGCACAAAGTTTGGTTAATCCATTCCAATCAGTTTAGGCTGTGAGGTAAGGCAAATAACTGTCAGTCGGCTTAACAATATTACATATAGGACATTTTGGACAGTGTGACAGAACTCATGCAATTCGTGTATTTTTATTCATTGTAGTCTTTTCTGCTGGCCACATACAATATGTGGAGATAACAATCCACAATACACAGATTGATGATCTGTGATATGACTTCTCTCTAATTACTATTTATGAATTAATTTAAGTAAAATCATGAAAATTATTTTATACAATGTAGAAATGATGTGACTAATTATGTAATCGATTTTACACAAAGTTTTTTGGTTTTTTGTAAGAGGTGAATAAAGTGTTTTTTAATAAAAAATTTTTATAATTGTCTGCAAAATAGGCTTAAATAGACTTGGCTGAATATTACATAATGGAAAGGAGAAATGTAGAGACCTTAATTGGTCAGGGAATCACAGATGGAATTACCTGTACAGACCCTGTATACACTGATTCTCAAAACTAACAGTTAGAGAAAACACTCTTTATAGAAAGGAAAATGTTCTTTTGTATTTTGTTACAATTCAAAATTGTGATCAATTAATGCCAAATGATCTGCCAAATTATCCAGCAATATTCGGGCTATGTTAATGATTAGTTACTAATTAATTTAACTAGAGGTAGATAGATATGCCACTATCTTGTATTCAATTAATCAATAAAATTTATGAAGCTGCTGCAGAAATACTTCAAAGACCCAAACAAGTGTCATAACATATGTTCTGTTATTTGTAAAGATAATAGAACATACATTATGACACTTGTACAAGTGTAACTAGTAAAGGCAAATACTTTAATTAAGCATCTTCTAAATTTAATGTTTCTTTTTCTTGTGGTAGTTTGTACTAGTTAATTTTGAAATAGTAAATGTTTTGAAATAACAATTATTCTGTGTAACTTATCTTTGGTTATCTTTAAGAATTTGACAGGAATATATTATTTTTTACTGTACATTGAATAACTGATCACTGGTAAAGTTTTATCCACCAATTTTGAATCACCCTGTATATATAATTATTAATGAAATAAATATAATGAATTAAAATATAATAAAAATATTTTCAGAAATGATAATAAACGCAAATCTACAGAAATACTGGAAGTAGGAAAGTCAAAAGAATTGAATTGGGTGGAAGTTCAAGCAGGTCAAGTTATTCCTTTTACATTTGGAGGTAGAGATAAATTAAGACATAAGGTGAGAAAGAAACAAATTATTTTTGCTTATTTTAATAATATACCTAAAAGTTCAATGAAAGTTTTATAAAATTGATTAAGATACTTTAAATGTACTCATTGACAAAAAGTTATGCACCAAAATGGAGGCATTGGAATCAAATGAAACTTCATTAATGTGAATGTAATGATGATGGTAATAAGTGATTACAATATCACCTCAAAGAGGAAGTTTGTTGGGTATCAATGTTACAGTTTAAAGGAACATTTATACCTTGTAGGACACCTCTTGCCTGGATATATGCAGTGATATAATCAAGCATGGAGACATTAAGGCACTATATGCTGTTCTACAGCAGTTTGTCTATAGATGTTGCAATTGCTATTCTAGATTTCTCACATTAATAGATTACCAAAGCTGTCATCCTATCTAGTTCTAAAAATACATGTTGAGCAGCAAATCTGGAGATTGGGCAGGATAAGGAAATGTGCAATGTGACAAGACATTTCTGAGAAACCCCAGCTGTATGTCCAAGCATCTTACTGGAAAATGGCTGTTTGCAGCTCTTTCATGAAAGGAAATACTTGAGATTGCAAGATTTCTTGAATGTATCATTGTGTCATCAACATCTTTTGTGTCACTACTAGGAGTGACTGACTGAATTGAAACACTTACCAGTAATCCTCCACACTAAGGCCTAATTTACACAAAGCATAAGAGCTAACATCTTTCATGTGAAACTGTTGCTCATGACTAAAACACTCTGTTTTGTTTAAACAATGGTGCTTCCATCTAGCAGCACACTCATGAATGTGCGACCATGTCATAGAGAGTCAAAAAAATTTCAGTTTTTACAGCTGAAAATCTGAGGCAGACCAATCTGTTTAAAGCATTATTTGACATGTGCAGTATGACTCTTAATAGTGTGTGCATTTTAAAATGTGGTTGCATAATCAACAAACTATGTGATATAAAGTTATTAACTGATGAGTTTGTGTGAAAAATATGAAAATCTGGAATTGTAAACATCCAAATTATTACAAAAAAGAATTAAGAAAGGAGGTGCTTAGGAATACTTGAGCAATTAGCAAATTACTTTAAAGGTAATGAAAATTTGTTCAAAGTAGGGTTTAAATAGTCAGTATGCTTTAATTACATTAAATATTTCTTTTTATTTACATAATAGAGTGAATACAGTTAAAATTAAAGAATAGTGTGTGATCAGTTAACAAACAGTTTGTTAACTGTTAAAATCGGATAACAAACACTTTTGCGAAAGATTTTTTTATGATCAGACAATGAACACATGTTCGGATAACGAACACTTTACTGAACAAACANAAATGAGAGTAAAAATGTGGTATAAAAGTTTTTAATCATGATTTGAAAGAGTATAAACTATAAACTCAACAAAATTCTGGAAACTCTTCACATTTCTAACTGCACGCACTTAACAGTATTAAAATGTATTTAGTAGTATGAAAAGATTTTTTATGGTTAAAAAAAACAATTCTTAAGCTTTATTTTTAAGTACATTTTTATTTCATTTCTTAGAATTTTAGTAGAAATAATCTTGAAAACAAAATGGGGAATGTAATTGGAATAATTAAGAAAATTTTATTTTATTTTTTTCATTTCTTTATAATAATCAAATATTATCTTTTCTAGGATTCGCATAGACTTAGAAAACATCAATTGATAATAAAAATAAATGGTTGGCAACAGCTTGCACCTGTGTCAGTAGATCAAGTTGGTGTATTTTATCGATTTGCTAAACCAGAAATAAATAGATTATCCAATTCTGTATGTATAAAAAAAATAAAACAAACAAAAATTAAAATTATGTCAGAAATTATTTAAATTAATTATTATATATTGCATTTATAGTATGTAGAACTGATACCCACAAGATTGGTTTATGCCGTTGCACTTGAAGGTAGTGCTAGGAAACTAATTACTATACGATCCGGTTTATTGTTAACAAATAAGTGTGATGATACTATAGAACTGAAGATGGAAAATGCTAATGTGCAATTTTCAGGTAAATTTCTGTCTAAAAATTAAAATAAAGTAAAAAATGTATAGTAATGTAAAACATATATTTACAGAAAATATAAGATGTACTTGTTAATAAAATATTTAATTATGACTAAGTAGTTACAAAAATTTTAATTGTAATAGACTTTCTTGATACACGTAAATGATACGTTCCAGGACTTCTTCCATACATTGAAATTTACACAGCTTGACAATGACTAATAAAATATTACTGCGAAAATTACAAAACCCCGTATTATCTGTAGAAAAAAGAAAATTAATTACATATAATAAAAAAAACTGTCTGGAATCAGTTGTGAAGGAACTGGAATAGCGCATAAAAAAAAGGAAACATTGTTAGTGTTTGACCCATTTTCATACATGCTTATTATTTTAGTTTTCTGTTCCAAATAAATTGCATTATCATATATAATTGTATAAAAAGCATCTTTTCGATTGTTCAAAAAAATTTATGCAAGTTAAAAGTTATGTAATTTGGATTTACTTAAGAAGGAACCCAAGTAGAAACTGCTGGACAATCAGATGAACACGAATTGGCTAGAAGTATAGTGCCATTACTGTTCTCATTTGCAGATAAAGATGCCTCAGCCATGTATATATTTCTGTTACAACTTTATTNAAAGTAATTTTATGTTTTGTATTTTTATTGCAGCATTTATCGAAGAAGATCCCCTTTTGTTCCTTTTGCAATTAAAAATGATTTAGGATGCAAAATTTGGTTTTCAACTGTTATAACTTCAACTGATAAGTATGTTTATCTATGTTAATTTTTTAAATAAAATGCAATAAATATAATGAGAGATAATTTTATAACTCATTTGGAAATGGTTATTATGTTTTTAAATGGCAACAGTAGTAAAATCATGTACAGACATTTCATCATTATACATTAGGTATAAATTTATTATAAAATTTAAATTTGTATGCTGATGTGATGATTATGTTTAAATAAGCTTTTGTATTTTATTCAATTTATTTTATCTTAAAACTAGTATTAAGGTTAAGTTAACTGTGAGTGTTATCTAATTATAAACTTCATATTTTACTTTTGTTATAAAAAGTTAATTTTCTGTATATTGGAATTCTGAAAACCTTTCCAGTCTAAATGTAAATTGGCAGGGTTTGTACAGACCTGGAAAGTCAAGGAATAAGGTTTTTAGCAGAAAAACTCAGGAAATTTGCAAATAAGTGGAATTCATCCATTGCTTTTGTTCCTTTTTGATCTGAACATGTCTTTAAATTTGGTTTGGTTCTACAAAACCGACCAAAAGAATGGCAAGATTTATCACACTTATATTATCATTTATAGTTTGCAAGATATAAGAGTTAAAATTTTGTTGGATAGAGGGTTTGTGTGTATTTAAAATGGTGGGTAATGGGGGTGTGCAGCTGTGAGGGGGGTTTTCAGTTATGCATGAACACTGAAAGTAGTGATGCTGCAAGGTGTTTGGGCAGTGTATAACTTTGGATTGCGAAGAGATAGGACATTGAAATTGGTGTTGATTTGTATAGAATGACAGGATCTACAATATTATTTAGCAATAATAACCAATGAAACAGAATATGTAAAGTTATAAGCCGATAAGCGTGCGAATTGAAGAAAATTTTCATAATGTCAAAATAATTACGAAGGAAATGGGAACAGAAATGTAAGAAATGTATATCATTGGAAGAAAAATTTAAAATGAATCAGAAAAGCCCAAAATTACTAATGCCAAACATTGCAGATTGTATAGAGAGCGTAAGAAAACCAAGTGCATCAACTCTGACAATACTTCAAGTGCACTGCTGCCTGAACCAATAGATATTGACTTGGAATGTGATAACCACCAAGACTCTATTTGTTTATACCTTATTCTTTCTCTAATAATACAAAGATGGATTCCTGCCTTAAACAATTATGATTTTGTCCCAATTTTTTTGACCTGCACAAAGTTTGGTTAATCCATTCCAATCAGTTTAGGCTGTGAGGTAAGGCAAATAACTGTCAGTCGGCTTAACAATATTACATATAGGACATTTTGGACAGTGTGACAGAACTCATGCAATTCGTGTATTTTTATTCATTGTAGTCTTTTCTGCTGGCCACATACAATATGTGGAGATAACAATCCACAATACACAGATTGATGATCTGTGATATGACTTCTCTCTAATTACTATTTATGAATTAATTTAAGTAAAATCATGAAAATTATTTTATACAATGTAGAAATGATGTGACTAATTATGTAATCGATTTTACACAAAGTTTTTTGGTTTTTTGTAAGAGGTGAATAAAGTGTTTTTTAATAAAAAATTTTTATAATTGTCTGCAAAATAGGCTTAAATAGACTTGGCTGAATATTACATAATGGAAAGGAGAAATGTAGAGACCTTAATTGGTCAGGGAATCACAGATGGAATTACCTGTACAGACCCTGTATACACTGATTCTCAAAACTAACAGTTAGAGAAAACACTCTTTATAGAAAGGAAAATGTTCTTTTGTATTTTGTTACAATTCAAAATTGTGATCAATTAATGCCAAATGATCTGCCAAATTATCCAGCAATATTCGGGCTATGTTAATGATTAGTTACTAATTAATTTAACTAGAGGTAGATAGATATGCCACTATCTTGTATTCAATTAATCAATAAAATTTATGAAGCTGCTGCAGAAATACTTCAAAGACCCAAACAAGTGTCATAACATATGTTCTGTTATTTGTAAAGATAATAGAACATACATTATGACACTTGTACAAGTGTAACTAGTAAAGGCAAATACTTTAATTAAGCATCTTCTAAATTTAATGTTTCTTTTTCTTGTGGTAGTTTGTACTAGTTAATTTTGAAATAGTAAATGTTTTGAAATAACAATTATTCTGTGTAACTTATCTTTGGTTATCTTTAAGAATTTGACAGGAATATATTATTTTTTACTGTACATTGAATAACTGATCACTGGTAAAGTTTTATCCACCAATTTTGAATCACCCTGTATATATAATTATTAATGAAATAAATATAATGAATTAAAATATAATAAAAATATTTTCAGAAATGATAATAAACGCAAATCTACAGAAATACTGGAAGTAGGAAAGTCAAAAGAATTGAATTGGGTGGAAGTTCAAGCAGGTCAAGTTATTCCTTTTACATTTGGAGGTAGAGATAAATTAAGACATAAGGTGAGAAAGAAACAAATTATTTTTGCTTATTTTAATAATATACCTAAAAGTTCAATGAAAGTTTTATAAAATTGATTAAGATACTTTAAATGTACTCATTGACAAAAAGTTATGCACCAAAATGGAGGCATTGGAATCAAATGAAACTTCATTAATGTGAATGTAATGATGATGGTAATAAGTGATTACAATATCACCTCAAAGAGGAAGTTTGTTGGGTATCAATGTTACAGTTTAAAGGAACATTTATACCTTGTAGGACACCTCTTGCCTGGATATATGCAGTGATATAATCAAGCATGGAGACATTAAGGCACTATATGCTGTTCTACAGCAGTTTGTCTATAGATGTTGCAATTGCTATTCTAGATTTCTCACATTAATAGATTACCAAAGCTGTCATCCTATCTAGTTCTAAAAATACATGTTGAGCAGCAAATCTGGAGATTGGGCAGGATAAGGAAATGTGCAATGTGACAAGACATTTCTGAGAAACCCCAGCTGTATGTCCAAGCATCTTACTGGAAAATGGCTGTTTGCAGCTCTTTCATGAAAGGAAATACTTGAGATTGCAAGATTTCTTGAATGTATCATTGTGTCATCAACATCTTTTGTGTCACTACTAGGAGTGACTGACTGAATTGAAACACTTACCAGTAATCCTCCACACTAAGGCCTAATTTACACAAAGCATAAGAGCTAACATCTTTCATGTGAAACTGTTGCTCATGACTAAAACACTCTGTTTTGTTTAAACAATGGTGCTTCCATCTAGCAGCACACTCATGAATGTGCGACCATGTCATAGAGAGTCAAAAAAATTTCAGTTTTTACAGCTGAAAATCTGAGGCAGACCAATCTGTTTAAAGCATTATTTGACATGTGCAGTATGACTCTTAATAGTGTGTGCATTTTAAAATGTGGTTGCATAATCAACAAACTATGTGATATAAAGTTATTAACTGATGAGTTTGTGTGAAAAATATGAAAATCTGGAATTGTAAACATCCAAATTATTACAAAAAAGAATTAAGAAAGGAGGTGCTTAGGAATACTTGAGCAATTAGCAAATTACTTTAAAGGTAATGAAAATTTGTTCAAAGTAGGGTTTAAATAGTCAGTATGCTTTAATTACATTAAATATTTCTTTTTATTTACATAATAGAGTGAATACAGTTAAAATTAAAGAATAGTGTGTGATCAGTTAACAAACAGTTTGTTAACTGTTAAAATCGGATAACAAACACTTTTGCGAAAGATTTTTTTATGATCAGACAATGAACACATGTTCGGATAACGAACACTTTACTGAACAAACATAAAAAGAAGTGATGGAAAATAATGAATACCTATTGATTTTCCTTTGTCTTCAGGTAACAATTCGAAACTTTTCAGAGTGCGAGAGACATCAACATCGACGCTAAACCTGATACCGATCAGATAGTATTCCTCTGAATTTTGAAACTCTCCCTTGTAATTCCAGCTTTTTGTTTACCTTTCTGACAAATAATTTTTTATAGTCTTTGCGAGATTGTTGGACAGGCACATGTTAAGTTTTGCATCGTGAGTTTATTTACGAAAGGTGAAAGTTTAACTGTCTCATTGGATATTCGTTAACGTTTTAATACCAAATTTTGAATTTCATCCAGGCCTTGCATTTAAATAATTTTTTGTGGGCTAGTTGATTTCTGTTCTCTGAATTTTTCTAAGTGCTTTTCTGAACTTTTTATTTGAAAAAGAAACTGATAATATTATGGAGCCTAAAAAGAGGAGTGTCAAGAACTGTGCTCACCATAGAAACCAAGTAAGAGATAATAGCCAAGGTAAAAAGTGGGCAGAAGATGTCTGATGTTGCTAGGCAGTATGGCTTGAACAGGTCTANATTTAAATAATTTTTTGTGGGCTAGTTGATTTCTGTTCTCTGAATTTTTGTAAGTGCTTTTCTGAACTTTTTATTTAAAAAAGAAACTGATAATATTATGGAGTCTAAAAAGAGAAGTGTCAAGAACTGTGCTCACCATAGAAATCAAGTAAGAGATAATAGCCAAGGTAAAAAGTGGGCAGAAGATGTCTGATGTTGCTAGGCAGTATGGCTTGAACAGCTCTACAGTAGACACAATTTTAACTATGAAAGATATATCAAGAAGTCTCAAGCTGCTAAATGGAGTAATGAAAATCACATCTGAAAAACAAAGAGCATTTTAGAGCTCATAATGGAACCTGAAACTGATCTGACAACAGAACTCCAAGAACTCTCAAATGAAGAATACAAAGAAACTTAGCGAGATATCTTTTCTTTTGAAAAAGAGGAAGACAAAAAATTGTAGGACCAATGTCAACATCTGCTACTAAAGATCTTTTGAAGAAGTGGGAGGATGTCAGAACAGTGATCATCCAAGTGGCATCCCAACCAGAATAAGGTTAATGGGGTTGGGGATCTCTACAATTACA